AGCAACAACCAATATGAAGGGTAATCTGTTGTTATTACTTTGTGTTTGAGTTCCACAGTAGAGAGAGTGACCTTCTCATGTGTTACATCAAGGGAGACAGACAGCAAGCGTCAAAGTGGTAATTTTCTCATGACACACCAATTTCCATAAAAATGCCAGCCTGTACTCAATTTGATGTCAGCTGCATGCTAAACTGCAGTAAACAGAATGGCAGACATCCAAGTCAAGCTTTCCATATTGACTTTCTGGCACGGCTCTGAATTTTTAAGGTTTATCAGGGCTTCACTGGAAGCATGTAATTTACTTCATAAAAAGGCTTGAATTTCTACTCCGTCTCCTTTCAAATCCATACAACCATGATGTCATTACATATGCTGGAAGTAATCAGGTCTGCCATTCATTGTCAAAAAAGCAATGGTTACAGCTTACGGGGCAACCCTATTTTAAAGTCTGCTATCTACTTTTTATTTATTATTTGATTTCAATGAAAACAAAACTATTTTCATGAATGTAAAATAAAACACACAAATCTTAATCTTGTAAATCTGCATTCACACCATTACCTGCTGATGTCATTACAGCAATAAGAAAACAGCAAACTCCTGTCAGTCATCACAATTGCCCTGTAGAGAGTTTGTGACAAAGGGAAACCAGGGCATGCAGTAGGTCTTTTCCTATTAATAAAGAATGAGAAACAAACTAAATAAAGCATTAGGTTTTGAAGTTTAGCTGAGACACAGATTAAATCAGACAGTAAATGAAAGCCACATTTACTGCCTGTCATTTTAAATTTTTTGTATTAAGAATTTCCCAAATGTAATGAGGGGATGCCTGCATTTTACCACAGTAAATGCCTAATAGGGTAACAACGGTGTAAAAAACATTGTGCAGTTTCCTGATCTACAAATACCACTGATGGGACATAGGATTCTTTTAGAGTTAGCCTATTCACCATAATGATACTTAACTGGTTTCAGCTATTTACTGGTTAAGAACAAAGTTCAGTGATAGAAAAATAAAATCAATTGTTCAAGCACCCTGTTTTTGTACACCTCCACCTTGCAATTATTGATCCTTTGAAAAGACAGCAAGTAAATATAATTTGAAAGGCCACAGCATGAAGTGATGCATGGGAGTAAGACCAAATTCAGATGGACAGAAACCCTAACCTACCTGGGTCAAAATTACAATTTGCAGCTATATTTCTACTGCTATAAGTTGGGCCAGTAGATGACAGTCTAGCCTACAGGCCACGTACAGAGCTATTGCTGCTAATATCTCAATGCTCTTTCAAGAGCAAGGGTTTCCAGGTCTGGTCCTTTAGACCTACTATCCTGTACAGCAAAATTCAATAACAAGACAACTCAAAATGCTAAAGAGAGCACATAAAAGAAGTTACTCTACACTGCAGTGGCATAATAAAGGTAGGCAAAGAAAAGCTAGTCTCTGCACTTATAATGCTAACATTCTGAATTTTCTTTAAAAAGAACTGGCAATGGCAACTCCAAACAAATATTTTTTAACCTTGATTTAAAGCATATTGGGGTTTCAGCACTTTTGTAGTCTCTTTGGACTTTGTTCTCATACGTGTAGCAAAAGAACTAAATGCTACCTCTTTATTCTTGCTTCTAGACATGCATAGTAGACTTGAACAAGACCTTAGAGATATAGTCATTTAATACACTAATACGTCTATAATGTACTTTATTGCTAAGTTATTCAGGTAAATCAATTCAAAAATACTTTATTAATACCAAAGAGAGATTCATTGTTTCAGTACAATCTGCTCTGTCCTTCCTTGTAGACAGCTTCACAGTTGTGTCTCCAGTCTAGTTTGTTGTCTAGGTGAACACCGAGGTACTTTTGCTCCTCCACCACTCCTCCACCTACTCTACTTTTTCTCCCATGAAGATGATTACCTCACATACAGTGTTGGCAACGGCAGAAGGCGGGATGCAAATGGTTATAACAAAACACTGGTAAACTCTATGGGCAAATAATATGGTCGGAAACCAACTGCTTACAGTTGAATATCTTGGCCGGAGCCCCAGATATGAACCTGCAGCAACATTTCAGTAAAACGCGTAATGCTGCATTGCCAATATTCTGGCTGTGTTCTTGCTAGGGCTTGGACTTCTTATAGTTTCCGTAAAATCTCATATTGCCCATGATGACTGATGGAAGAGATGGCTTATATTTCTTGTTCCTCTCTCATCTCCTTGCTCATGCTCTGCATCAAGGGCACCTCGTTTTCAGCTCAGCTGGTACTTGCGGAAATAGTTGATGTATTATTTAAGGTTTAGAGTTGTTCATTTCCTGCTCCTGTATGTAAAAATTCTACTTGCTTTGGTTGCTGTGGTTACACATCATAAGAAGTATCTAAAAGGAACAAATATCAGTAAAACCTTTCCAGTAGCATTCAATAACAGAATCGAAAAACATCGGAAAAAAGAAACTGATGCACAAGTGGAGAAACTAAAGTTCTTTTAAACAAGATAATCAGGGTCCAGCTAGCAGAGCTACTCCAAACTGCAGCCACCTTAGGCAACAAATTATTAGAATATTATTTTTATATTATTTTATTTCTTTTTTTATATATACGTATTTTACATTTTATTTGATAAGACACAGAGACCAGGCATGGGACCAAGGATTTGGAACTAGAGTGATGAGCTCCACTTTCTCAGTTTTAGAGATGAAGTGGGCAGGAGCATTTTTGATCAACTACAGCTATCTGATTGACTTTATATGCATACCTGTTATAACACTGTTTTAGTAAACAATTTGAATAAATGAGCTTGTCTTTTATGTGTGTCTGTCCTGTTTTGCCTGGCAATCTGGGAATCAATCGATCAATCAATGTCTAATTGCTAGTTACTAGTCCAATAGATTTGCTTTCACAAGCAATCTAATGGTTGTTGCCATTAGATTCTGTTTGGTAATTATATATGAAATTTTACAAAAAATGATTTGGGGGATAAAATTGTATGCAACAGACATGGAGGTGAAAAGGAAGGCAAGAAAGGGAGAGGGGATAAGAATTAAGGGGACAGAGACTGCAAAGGGCTAAGACTCTCAGGGCAGCAGCAGCAAGCCAGCAAGGTCTGCCGGCAACCGGTCATGCTCAAAATTGAATTGGATGAGAGTACAGGTGTCTGAGAGGCATATCACCCCCACAATCCGAGACCCCACATGGCCAGGAGGCCAAAGCCCGGCCTGACAGCCAACAGGAATGAGACAGCGCCCATATAGTACCCAATCCTTTACCATGAGAGCCATCGCCATGCCAGCAGATACAGGTACCCCTAACCGGCAGGGAGTCTAAGAAGGGGGAGGAGACTGTTCCTTTCATGCTTGGAGCCTACCTATTCCAGTAGGTAGGAGGGGAGCCAAGCACAACCTGCTTGACATTTTCACATGCATCCAGTCCCATTCACACAATCCCACCCGTACAGACAAATGCAAACACTCAACTGAAACATACACTGGAGCAGAAACAAAACATAAACACATAAATACACTATCCTCCTATGTGTAGGGGCCAATCCCCCTAGGAAGAACCAGGTCCCAGTAATAGACTACCAGCTCTCCAATGCGGTAAAGGGCTGGTTATACTCCCAGCAGTGTGTTGCAGTGAGCTTGTCAAAGATATTTTTGATTCATGCCCAACATTGAAGCATGGTCTGTGCTATGTTATTCTGCGCAACAAGGCAAGAGGGACAATCATGAACTAGCTGTGGGTCTAGATACGGCCGAGGCGGTGAGGAAGTGGGGGCATGCTTGTGCGATAATGGAGGGACATGAGGGCAAAAAAGAGCGAGGATCCAGGTGGAAAAAGAGTCCCAGCGTTCTCCTGCACCTCACTCTTCTGGCTGTTCCAACTTCACGAGTTGTTTCCCACAATGACGGTCATACAAACAAAACAAGCTGGTAAGGTACTAAACAGGAAATACACATAGTGTGGAGCGGATGTAGATTTGACAAATCAGAGGCCTCCTGTCTGTGGTCTCCTACAGTTTTGGAGAGGTGCATTTGAATTCACTGCGACAGACATGAGACGACTTGGTTTCTGAGTATAAATCAGCCGTAAGGGGCAGGCAGCCTGAGCTCTCAAGACAGGGGCTGGGACTGGGTGCCACTCAAGGAAGAAAAACCCAAGTGTAGCACAAGTCTAGCTCCAAAAAACACTCCAGACCCATCCCCAGGAGTGACACCTCCACCAGGACTCCATGAAACCATTCCATAAACTGGACACCCACCCTTATGATACCAGATCAGGCAGCCAAACTATCGAAGAGCCCACCGCAGCCAATCCCAGCTACTTCAGGACCCCCACGCCCATACGTATGTAATTTCTAAGTACCTTGTGAACCAGTTTCTGAGGAGGCTTATTTTCTCAGTCTAGAAGAGATAAGCCACTTTTCAAAAAAGTTTTATGTTGTAAATAACAGAGTTCTATAACATATTCAGCTGTTCATGCAAACTTTAGTTCAGTTAAATCTATATTATCCTACCTGAAATTTAAATTTAGAACAAATTAGACCCAGTCAGCATTTTGTATGTTTTCTCTAACAAGGCAAGAAAACTTCCCTAATTTGTTTGCGTAGGATTGCTGTTGTTTTTTCAACGTATATAGTTTTAAAAAGTTATTTGTATAATTTAGGGAAAATCCTTATTTGACTTTTGTATAATGTAGAACCTATTTATTTTGGCAAGAATACAGGACTTCAATCTGTACTTTTAAGTTTGTATTTAACACTAATACTTTAGAAAGAGTACTTTGAACACTTCTGAATATGCAAGTTTTCCACGAATCCCTCAGAATGAGCTGTGTGTGGAGCTAATGGTCAGTTTGACGCTTAAGGGTAGGGAACCATAGGGGAGATATTTAACAGCTAGTGGGTGTGGGGCACAAACACAGCTGTGTTTAGTCGCACTTTCACGCAGGACGTCCCCGTGTCCATGTGGAGGACCGTTATCCTCACTCTCTCCTCCCTCCACGTCCTTTCCTCAAACACTGCTGCTACGGAAACATAAGTGGCTGCTGCAGCAATTAGGGAGCCACGCCTGCTGAGCTCTAATTTCTCTGAATTGTGCTCCTTATATACAACCACTCTTTGTTGCTGATGAAAGTTGTATCTAGTTGCTGCAGGTCTCCTCGCCTAGAAAACGCTCTAATATCAGTTTTAATTATTCTAACATCGCGAGAGCTTACAGTAAGACCCCTCAGGGGCCGGTCTTTACGAGCAAGACATTAGAATCCCGTCGGTCACTCTGACCAGTACCACCCCAGGCGAGAGCCATGGAGTACCTCAGGTTCTGTATAGTTTTATCATGCTGCGTAAAGTTTGGAAGTTCTGTTCTCTCAGATAATGCGCCTCAAACCCCCCCGCCTATTTCTAAAGGTAAGACATTGTTCACTTTTTGTGCCCTTATTTATTTAATTCTGCTCTTAAAGTGTGTTAATATTTGCATGGAACCGTCAGACAGATAAATCTTGGTTTATGCTTAAATTATTACTTATATATATTAAAAAGATGTAACTGCAGCTTGTGATGCGCAGGTTGCTTACATACACAAACATGTATATGCAGCGTGATAATTACACGACTGTGTGGTTTGTCGCTGTCTCGTGTCGTTTTATGTTTTTTGGCTTCGCTCAGCTTTTATGTTACAGTTGGGAGGCTGTAAAAGTTTTAGTGCAAGAGACAGCTAATTGGAGTAGAGGGTCTTTGATGTTTTTTTCTTTCTTTAAGCATTATACTGGACAGTTTAACAGTATTTATGCAGAACATAAAAGCTTCGAGTGTGAAACAAACAAACAAACAAACAAAAAATATAGGCTATTGTTCATCTATCCAAAAAGATATTAAGTTTAAAAATAGATATGTGCGTATTTGTGTTGAGAAAAACACCTCCTCTTTTTGAAAATGGGCTGCTAAATCCCTGAGTCTGACTTTTATGGACCTGACTGATAATACTTTCCATGGTTGCTGGTGAATTACACCAAATTACACTTAAATCCCATCACACTCACACAGAGGTCTTGTAAAATTTTAAAGGCTAGAATGTATAATATTTATCTTTAGTCTGAAAACACTAAAATAGATAGACTGGGACAATAACTCTTTGCCCTTCCTGCATGGGGTTTGCAAGTTAAAATGATAAATGACACACCAGAATCTTCATGTCATGAGTGGACTAAGATTTCATAGCTTCCTTAACAGATCTGATTTGGGCCTAAGCCAGTCACCCTTCAGCCACAGTTGCAATATCTCTGTTAATTTTACCAATACTCATTCTTGTGCTATTTGTTTAAATTCTCTTAGCACTTTTTATACTCTTCAGTTTTTAATCAAGGGCGTATAATGGGTTACTTTTGCTTTTTGAGATGAGATTGTGTGAGCAAATTATCCTGAATAGCTTTTTATCTGTTGTGCACAGACTACAGATTAGGGTGAATTTTAAGAAGACAGAATAAATAAAAAAAGTTCTGAAACCCCTCAAAAGCTAACAGGTTCTCCGATTGTCACACCATTTTAGAAGATTTGAGCTATTTAAAACAACTAAAAAAAAACAAAAAAGTTATAGCTATTGCATTCAATACTATTTGTAAAGACTTAATATCTATACTATATTCTTTTAAACAAAACACATAGTCCCTGTTTTCTGAACATGTTCCATTTTAATAGGCTTCAATTACATCTGCAGATGGTGCCTGTCTTGGTCCACAGGGATAATTTCCAGAGATTTTCAAGCTCTGGAAAAGCTCTGGACAACAGCATCTTTTATGGTAGATGCACCCCTTAGCCTTAACCAAATTTTACTTAAGCGTATAGGAATAGAGAAGCGTTTTTGTTTGTAAAACTGGCAAACTTTTAAAAAATCCGCTTGGGACATATTAAAAAACTTAAATTAGCTAAAATATGTCATCTGCTCTTTTATCTGTTGATATTTCCTGTGATTGTTTATATGCTTGTCTACAAAATTACTTAGTACACATTAGAGATAATAACTTTAAATAACCTCAACTTAGAATTGACTTACTCTCTCACATTACCTATTTATTAAGCATCTGTTAATAAATTGTAAGTACAAGGTTACAGACATACAGCGGGCTGCACGGTGGACAGTGGGTAGCACTGTTGCCTCGCAGCAAGAAGGTTAAGGGTTTGATTCCAGGCCCAGTCTTTCTGCATGGAGTTTGCATGTTCTCCCTGTGCATGCGTGGGTTCCCTCTGGGTACCCTGGCTTCCTTCCACAGTCCAAAAACATGAATGTTTGGTTAATTGGCATCTCTAAAAGTTGTTTTTAGGTGTGTGTGTGCATGGTTGTGTGTCTTTGTGCCGTTCTGCGACAGACTGACAACCTGTCCAGGGTGCACCCGCCCTCTCGCCCGTAGACTGCCAGAGATAGGCACAGACCCCACCACGACCCTGACAAGGTCTAAGCAGGAGATGGATGGACAAACACATAGCAAAATGCCTGCAGTATAGCTCATTTCTTAAGTTTTCTATAGTATACAATTATAGATTAAATTGACTTATTATTTTTTTGAGGGAACTTGCAATTGGAGCATACATTAAGTATTCCCGCACAGCACCATAGGACTTAAGGCTGATTTATACTCAGAAACCAGGTCGTCTGGGTGTATATCGCAGTGAATGCAAATGTGCTCCTTCCCCTGCTGCAGACACTCTGCTGCACCTCTCCAAAATTGTCTACATCCACTCTACACTATTTGTATTTCCTGTTTGGTACTTTACCGGCTTGTTTTGTTTATATGATCATTATTGTGGAAAACAGCTTGTGAAGTTGGACCAGCTAGAAGAGCGAGGTGCGTGAAAAAGCTGGGACCCTTTTTCCACCTGGATCCCCGGTATTTTTCATCCTCATGTCCCTCCGTAGTATAACCAACCCTTTACTCGTATAGACAGGGCTGAAACAATGAATTTAATTCACTGTGATTAATTGATAAATTCGATCATTGTCAAATAATTTAATAACTGAGTTATAATTAGCCATTGTATACAGACTCTAAAACATTCCTTTTGCTGAGATCAGGCCGCTTAGAGCAGTAATGAACTGTGTGACCCCTTTAAAAGTTTGCCTGGTTTGAATAACTTGAGATCACTTCAGCTGTAACATAAGTAGTTTTAACAACTGGTCGTTTTTGGGCAGTGGGTGGCCTACAGCATTCCCTCCAACAATGCCCGTATCAGAAGTTATATAAAATAATTTATTTTTTTCTCCTCACCACATACATACATTTTTAAGTAGATCCTAAAGCTCACCACATTGTGATTGCTTTCCTCAATCTCTTCACCAGTTGTACCCTTCTGTGATAGAATCTCAGAGATACACCAGGATTCAACAATGAAAGGAGGCAGTGGAATATGCAGGAATGTAGAGCCTAGCTGGGAACAGTGCTCATGGCTGTTAGTTTGGTGAGCTTTGGAAAGTTACAAAAATGTGGGCATGCAGACTGATGCTGTACAACCATCTGAAAGGGGCCTTTCACTTAAGTCTTACTGTTTGAACAACACTTGTGACAAAGTACTAAATTTAACATATAGGTTTTATGTTGTGAGGCAGAGACCCTGCAAAGTTTTGTGCATGATTCCAATACTGAGTATTTTACCATAACACAGATGTCAAACTGTATTTTTCTAGATATTTTGAGACAGATTGATACATCGGTCGGCCAATATTTTGGGACGATATAATATCTATATACATATTTTTTATTGTATCTACCTAGGTCGATAAATGCATGTGTTTGTTGATTCACTAGCACCATATTTGTTGATTTATGTGAAGCAAATGCTGTCTAGTTGTGTGGTTTTTAGAGGACCCAAGTGCACAGATGGAAGCTGAGGAGGTTTCTTGCAGATTTGAGCAAAAAAGTAAAACAAAAAACAAAATCCAAAGTCCAGAGCTGATTTATATTGAAAACTGTCATGATGGGGTCTAAGAGAGTAAAGCCCAAGATGCAGAACACACACGGAGAACGTTGGTAAAAAGTCCAAAGAGTTTATTGTAACACAAGCACGTAGTAAATATGCAGGAACAGTTCAGTCCGGGGCTGGTTCACTGGGGTATGCGCGGGGAACGGAGGATGGCTGGTACTCTGAGATCATGTGGGGCTAAGCTTCTAGCTGTGAGCTTAGCAAGGCTAAGTTGGATCTGAGCTTCCAGCTCAACACAGAGAACAACAGGGGATTATCCACACGGAAACCTCTGGGGAAACTCCTCGAAGAAGTCTTCTGGTTTCATCCACATAGGGATCTGTGGGTTGGCTCACCAGGGCAGTTTAGCAGGTTGGGCTTCCCAAGAGCTTCTGGCTTGAGACTGGTTTCCTGTGACGCAGCTCTCCCAGAGCTGCGGGTCAGAGACAGGGTTCCAGTGAGGGTGCTCTCCCTAAGCTTCACCAGGAGACAGGAGGTTAAGCTCATCCAGAGCTTTCACGAGAAGACAGGAGGTTAAGCTCATCCAGAGCTTTCACGAAGAAACAGGAGGTTAAGCTCATCCAGAGCTTTCACGAGGGACAGGATTCCTGTGAGGCAGAGATAAGGAAGATATTAGAATCTGGTCTCGACCTAGGAACAACCAAGACTCAGTTATTAGCAGAAGGTTCAGGAAGCTAACCAACTAAGATCAACACTGCGGCGTGGAATCAAGGTCAGGCAGGAGCTTATAAAGGAGAGGTCTTCTAATGAGAGGATTAGGAACAGGTGTGAAGGAAGGTTCCAGCTCCAGAAGACCCACAGCGCATCCTGCTGGAGACAGAGGGTAATCTCCAGATCCCCACAGTAACTCCAAACCTAAGGGAAAAACAAAGAGAGCAGAAGAGGATCCTCGGCGCCCTCTGGTGGGCAAGCCTGAGGATCCCAACAGAGCCCCCCCCTCAAGGGCGGATTCCAGACGCCCCCTGAAAAAAACAGAAAATAGAGTCCAGAAAACAAAAACAACCCACCCAGGGTGGGCGAAGGGGGAAACAGGCCAGGAGGGCAGAAAACAAAAACAGAGTCCAGAACAAAAAACGATCCACTTATGGTGGACGACGGCAAAGGAAAACCCAAAAACTTTCTTGGGCACAGTCTCTGGTGGTCGGCCGAGGGACCGGTAGCGGGACAGATTCTCAGGTGACCGGCCGAGGGACCGGCAGCAGGACACAGTCCCAGGTGGGCTGCCGTGGGGCCGGCAGCAGGACACAGTCTCAGGTGGCCGGCCAAAGTACCGGCAGCAGGACACAGTCTCAGGTGGCCTGCCGTAGGGCCGGCTGCAGGACACAGTCTCAGGTGGCCTGCCGTGGGGCCGGCAGCAGGACACAGTCTCAGGTGGCCTGCTGTGGGGCCGGCAGCAGGACACAGTCTCAGGTGGCCTGCCGTGGGGCCGGCAGCAG